CAGAACATTGCCGCTGGATGCGTATGCAGCGTTTTGCAACAACATCAAGCTGGTGAGGTGGCAACGGCCACAGGACAGACAAAGAACATAGGATTATAGAAGGAACAGTGGGTTGCTGAACAGTGAAAATGGATAAGGGTTACGGGCAACGCACAGGGCAACAGAGTTAATTGTGCTGAAATTTTGAGAAGAACTGGGCAACAGAAGATGGCACGTGAGGGAGACATGGGGCTCTGGATAAGAAAGGCAGAAAGTGCTGGTCACGGGGTAGGCTGAGGCAATGCCTCTGTGGAAGACAAAGGACGTTGAGAAGAGAGGCAAAGGCAGCGCTGCCCATCCCATGCGGAGAAGGACGAGATGAAAGACATCATAACTAGTGTTGCCAATTCAAACTGTTGGAAAATGTTTGCAAACAAAAGTGTCAATAACCAGAATCTGTGTCAACCAAGTTCTTACTAAAGAAATACACATGGAAGGAGTAAAAAAATTAATTGTATAGATGTTTTTAAACATTTCTCTTTTGGTTTGGAGTTACCACTGTTTTGGTTTTTTTTTTTTTGTTTTTTTGTTTTTTAACAGAGGTAAATTAAGCTGGGAACATAATTAAAAATCTCTGGCCTTGAACATAAAACCGAAAAAAAAAAGAAAAAAAATCCCAACCTTACTTTTTTGCTTGTCATTTTATGAAAGGCAGCACTGTAACTTTTTGTTTCAACCTATAACAAGATACTGTTTTCAAAATCTCTGACACCAACTCTCAATTGGCCTAAAACCATCTCCCAGTTAGCTCTGATGTGCACTGGGGATTACTGAAGGGATGGCACTGATGCAGGATGTAAGACATTTGCAATAAAGATAGGAAGGGTGCACTTTTTTTTTACAGAGAAGACTTGTCTGTTGGAAGATGGCCAGCAGGCAGTCTCTCCCTCTCCCAGAGCTCCCAAACGCTGGGGCCACCCTCCCTAAACTCCCTGAGCTGTATCCACATGTAGCTCCATTGCTTTACATTTCCTCCCTCAAACAGTTGCTGATTCCTTCCCCTCCTCCCAGCAGAGCACCACGCAAAGGTCAGGCAAAAGCCTTTGAGATTAAATTGTAAGTGATTAAAATTTCCATTATTTTGTGAACTTGTTCCACATATTAAAGAGCCATAATGGAACTTGCACACATTTGTGCAGGTAGAAAGGCACATGATGACAGGAATTAAGGAAATTAATTCCTGTGCTTTGGACTGAAGTAATCTTCCAGAATGTAATTGGCTTTCAATCATTCACACACAACATGCCCTTCACCTTTAAATGGTAATTCATTGTACCATACAGGTTTTGAATTCCATTTACGTCAGGCTTTAAGAAAGCTACCATGTCTGTACTAGAATACACTGTATATGCTTTGTCCAGGAGGAGACCACGTCAAAGCATAATTCAGATTTCTGATGTATGCATCTATATGCTGTTTTACCGTTTTGGCGATCCTTTGCAGGGGGAAATGCAGAACACTTCCTGGCCAGAGATCAAGCTGCAATTCCCTCAGCAATGCAAGGTTATTAGTGCCACCTCTTCTGAAACACTCGCTATTTTCTCGCAGCACCGAGCTCTCTGTGGGACATGGCAAAGTGGGTATGATTCTACAAGACTTTTCAGGGCTGTGCCTAGATCCCAGCAGAGCTGTGCAGAGCACAGTGATGGTAAACATAGCTGCATCTGCTTTAATAAAAGCAACAGAAATCTGGAAAATCTCACCATGTAGCACTTCCCATTTTCCATGGCTGTGAAAGAAAGACTAAGAGGAAATACTGGAAGCACTGGGATTGGTCTAGTTGCTTCTGAGTTTGCTTCAGCCTACCCGCTTCTGTTGACGTATCAGCAACACGTTATAGGTGACAAAGTGTATCTCTCTGACGAAATGGCCATCTGCAGGCCAGGTGCAGCATTTAAATCTATTCCTTCTTGTCTGTATTTTCCTTTTGCACGTCACATCCTATCATTCTGTGATGTTTTATCTCCCTTGCACTAATATCAGCCCTGGCTGACAACCAGGGAGACTGTAACGTTGGCACCGCTGCCAAATGGTTAGGCATATCCTGGACACAGACAACAGATGCTTATATTTAAATTGGGACTAATTTGCATTTTTGTGTATTGTGGATTTTTTAAAGCATAGTTTTAGTAATGAAAAGGAATGTGTAATTCTGAAATAGTAATACTTTCCTTTGAAAAGCCAGGTTTGCTAATGGACTGCCATCTGTTCAACCCTTTGCCAGGAAATAGATTTGTCCTGCTTACTGAAAACAGTATTAGGGTGAAACTGTAGATTACACAGTGGATTTCTGAGCAGTTTAATTTAAAGTGCATGCTAGCACTTCGTTATTTCAGTAAGAATAACTTTAGATTCTCCTTTCCTACTAATGTCGGAATTCAAGCCATCCAGCAAACTGTATTTAGAGTACTCTGGGGGCTGTTTTGCTCTCAGCTGGGTTCCAGTAAAGGTGCCTACCTCTCCTTTATCATTTCAAAACTAAGTTCATCAGGTTTCTTTTGCATAGGATTTACAGCAAGAAGCTCTCTATCTTGCTTTGAAAGCCCATTTTAATCCTCTGGAAAGAAAGCATTTTTAAAACGGTAAGGCACTGGCCTCAATTGTGCTTTCAAGAGTACAAGATTTATACATGCTGAGAGCCTCTCGGATGCAAGTTAGGAAGAATTCAGGATGCTGTATCAGGAGCTGTTGGTCCCCTCTAACTGATGGAACCGAAGGAGCGAAACTAACCAGAATGGTAAGTTACTCTCCCCTGTAACCCACACAAATCTAGTAACCTTTCTGCTGAGCCTTATTAGGGGCACAAACGCACTGCGGGGGACAGGTCCGATTTTTACAGCCTGGAGGCAAAAGCTGAATTTTAACAGAACTTGGGAGATTTCAGCACCCTCGGTAAGGCTCCTGCCACAGCCTCCGGGCTCGCACAGCGCCAGGCGCGGAGCTGCCCGCGGGAATACGCCGACGCGCTCTTCGGTAGGGTCACATCGTTAACAACCCGCAGCCGCTGCTCCCTTCCCCGCACAGCCCCTTCCCCGCTAGCCCCCCCAGCCCCCGGGGCCGCCTCGTTCGGCCAGCAAACGACCGTCCGTCTCCCCGGGCGCTGCCAGCTCCCAACTCGCTGCCGGCAACGGCCGGGCCGGACCCGCTGCCCCCCACCGCGG